CAGAGCAGATGCACAGCCTATGCATTAGGTAGGCTGCAAAGCTGAACTCTTCCCTGCCAAAACCCCCTAGGACTATGTGGCTGGCAAACAAAGTGAAGCTGCCTAGGACTACTGCCATGTGACTTTACTAGTCTGAGATTTTTGGATTACTGGACTGAATGACATTCAGGTAGATATAAGAATGATGGGGTGAAGGAAGCCTCTGAAAGGGCTAAGAATTCTGCCAGCAATCCAGGAACAAGCAAAGTCCATGTGGAGTAATGTTGCTTTTCTGAGCACTCCTCCTCAGTCACTAAGGGTATGTCTACACTACCACCCTAATTCGAACTAGGGTGGTTAATGTAGTCATACGAACTTGCAAATGAAGCCCGGGATTTGAATTTCCTGGGCTTCATTTGCATGTTGCCAGGCGCCGCCATTTTTAAATGTCCGCTAGTGCGGACTCTGTGACCGCGGCTACACGCAGCACGAACTAGATAGTTCGGAATAGGAAGCCTAGTCCGAACTATCTAGTTCGTTCCGGCGGCACCTGGCAACATGCAAATGAAGCCTGGGAAATTCAAATCCCGGCTTCATTTGCAAGTTCGTATGACTACATTAACCACCCTAGTTCGAACTAGGTGGTAGTGTAGACATACCCAAACTTATAACCACACTGATGATGGAATGTCTCTTGCTTGGGTGGGTTGAATTAGAAACACTGTATTTCTTCTCTTGAATCTTACCCAAGGAAACAGGGTTCCTCTAAAAGTGGCACATCTTAGATTCCTGTTTCCCAATTCCGGGGTCTTTAATAGATAACGGGTGACTAATAAAAATAGAGCAGGGGTTCTAAGGGATGGTTCATTCCAGGCATATTTTTAATCAGGGATTAGTCTGTCTCTAAAAGAATCTGCTGTGCCCTGTTGTTGATTGACATACGTGTGGGAAATCATAAGGCAGAGATTGCTGGTAACTGCTGCTGCTAGTTGTGCTGACATGAGCTCTGTTGTGACTGTTGTACTCCATTATTGTTGTTTTCAGACTCTGTCCTTTGAAGAGACATTATAAATAAATATATTTGTCAACCTCAGTGCTGAGTTGTTGGAGGTGATCTGTTGCTGCGGCTGAAGCCCGCTTCAGGGTTTGTCTGTGCTGGGCATCTCGAAGAGACAGATGCGGAGGGGGAACAGTGGGTGGCAGGCCCTGGGTGATGAACGTGGTTTCACTCTCTGAAACGACTTGCAGCCTAGTCCACTACCTGCTTGCTAAGATGTGTTTACAAACTAGCCCGGGGTGGGCAAGATGCAGCCCACCAAGCCATCGGATCCGGCCCGCGGCCCTGGTCAATTGAGAAGTCTCCTCCTCCCACCAGGGGCGCACCGCACCTAGCGGGGCCCCTTCTTCCCAGGGCCCCATCCTTTCTGGGGGCATAGCCAGCCAACAACTATTATCCACAATTTGTAAAGTGGGCCCCCTGCAAAAATTATTGCCCACCCCTGAACTAGCCCAAAGGTGGGGTTTTATTTGCTACAGTCCTCATGTGCTAGCTTATGCGAAATCATAAGCAGGTGCTGGTGGGAAGATTCAGACTGTGCTAACAACTGCCTTTGAGGGGAACAGATCCTGTTGCCATTGTTTGGGTGTAAACCTCCACTGCTGGCAGGCCTTGAGGCTCATGTGTGTACTTGAGCGAGCATAAATTACACACACGCACAAATGTCCCCTGTGGCATTTTACAGGCACGTGTCTGACAGTTCGGAATACCCAGGCTGAGCTTTCCTTGCAATCTGCTTCACCCTTCCCACACACCTGAGAGCTTTTGCTAAGATGCCCAGGCTTGGGAGCGGCAGGTGTGCTTTTCTTCCCACAGGTCAGTCATAAAACAAGTATGAGAAGGGCGTATTTACACCATAATCCGTCTCAAAACCTGGAAGAGAAGAAAAGCCACATTCTCAGGCTTTCAGAAAAAGAAGAAACAGCTGCAGAGTTGTAGGAACTCTTTGTCCCTTTACAGCAGATTGAAAAAAGCCACAGAAACCTACCAGCAACACAAGCTTTCCCTCGTGTCCCTGACTGGCTACTTCCCCTCCAGCCTAGGCCCGTTGAGCAGGTGCTACTGGGGGGCCGGCCATTCCTTTATAACACTCTGTACAATCACCTAACTTGTTCAGATACGAATCCCCCCCTCCCAATAGCATGAAGCAAATGGAGGGTTTTGACCTACCCCTTTCTACTCTCACACCTGGCAAAGGTGGTCTCACAGGCATGAACTATGGTAACTATTACAATTGTGCTAGCAGCTGCCCTATTCTCTCCAGTGACTTCTCACAGGTTATATCCCTGTCCAACTTCCTCCCAGCCTCACCTTTGTGTAAAGTCAGTAGCATTACACATGCTGAATATATAGAAACATTACCTACTCTCCCCACCCATTTCACTCACAATGGGTTCTTTCCTTCATGGCCAGCACACTGGAGCCTAGGGAACATGGGAAGGATGGTGTAGCCACAGGATCCAGAGAGAATGCTCAGAACCAAGGCAGGTGTTTTGTTGCATAACTGCTTGTCCACAACAGGTGCAGCTGGAATGTGATTCTGACAATTGCTGATTTAAGCCACACTCACTTGTCTTTTGTATGGAGAGGGTTTGACTTGCTTTCTTGGGCTTGGTCGACAGCTTATAATTTAAGCCACACATTTGTTTTTTGTATGGAGAGGGTTTGATTTGCTTTCTTGGGCTTGGTCGACAGCTTATGTTGGTAAAAATACCTCTGAGCACACTGCTGTACCGACCAAACTCCCAGGCTGTGTCTACACTGGTGTGATCTTGCGCAAAAGCGGCTGTTCTTGTGCAAAAACTTGCCGCCTGTCTACACTGGACGCGTGTTATTGCGCAAGTAAACTGATGTTCTAATGTATGAAATCAGGGCTTCTTGCGCCAGAACTCTGATGCTCCCGCTCAGGAATAAGCCCTTTTGTGCAACTGTTCTTGCACAAGAGGCCAGTGTAGACAGGCAACATGAATTTCTTGCGCAAGAAAGCCCTATGGTTAAAATGGCCATCAGAGCTTTCTTGCGCAAGAGAGCGCCTACACTGGCATGGATGCTCTTGCGCAAAAGCACATGCCAGTGTAGACGCTCTCTTCTGGAAGAATTTTTGCAGAAGAACTCTTCTGCAAAAGAGTTTTTGCATGAGAACGTGCCAGTGTAGACATAGCCCTAGAGTAGACAGCACTCTGCTGGCAGGAGGGCTTCTCCTGTTGACAAAGCTACAGCCTCTTTGGGAGGGACTCCTTTCAGCCTAGATAGTGCTTCACCGAAGTGCTACAGGTGGTGCTGCAGCATTTTAAATGCAGACAATCCCTTGGTCAGGCACCTGCTCACAAGAGGGACTCTGATGATTGATTTGCATAATGAAGCAGATGCTTCGGATTTTGCTCACATTGGCTGTGGCACAAGATGCTGCTGCATTTTAATCAGAAATCATTTGTTTTCAGGAAGGTCCACAACAAGTGCAGCTGAAAGGGATGGTCTTCTGAATTTTGCCATGAAATGAATCTTTCCAAGGCTCTGCTAGTCCTGCAGTCTTTGTTCTGATTATGAGTTTTTTTCCAGAATGCTCTTCAGAAATGAGATTTTCTTTAAGCAGGGATATTACTCCCTTTTGGTTTAATTTTTTCCAAGCATGGGAGCTCAGACACTTTCCAGCAAAGCCACAGGTTTCTTTAAGAAACTCAGATTTGGTGCCCAGAATCACTGGTCAGTTTTGAAAATCTGCTCCAAACTCTCTAAATCAAAGCAGGAAATAAAATATCTAGTCATTTGGAGGCTTGTTTATATTTTTACCCCCCTCCAAAAAAAAGAAAAAAAAAAGCAGCATTTCTGGGGAAAAAAACCTGCTTTATTTTACAGGGAGAACTGTCAGGTAGTTTAGGTTAAAACCCAACATTTGAGTTTTATTTTGTTTTAAAAAGCTCTTTTGATGTTTGTTTATTTAGGTATTGGTAATAATGGCTCTTTTAGGGGCTTAATCTTTCCCCTGCATTGTGTGAAATCCAACCATTGCTGCACCTGAGACACAAGAAGTCAAAGCAAGTCTCCTTGTGTCCAAATGGAAATGCAATCATGAAGAAAAATCCTGGCATTTAATGACTCTGAAGCATTCTGACAACACAGGGAAGGGCATCATATTTATTCATTCCTATGTGGTTTGACATAATAAATTGCTTGTTTTGTAATTAAAGAGTTAAATGTGGAGGGTTCAGTGCAGGACTGGAGCAGAAGGCAGCAGGATTGCTGGGAGTTGAAATAAGACTGCTGATGAGAAATGGCTGCCTGCAGCCAGGTACGGTACTGTGCCCCAAGGGGTGATCACCTGTCCATGTGTGATAGGCACCAGGCAGAGAGGAGCCTGGGCAAACAGGGCTTGGCTCTAGGTAATTCACAGGGAAAATAAGGAAATAGCTTGAAAAAAAACAAGAGGCACAGGTGTGAGCTAACCTGATTCTATAGAAACACTGGACACAGCAGGTTCTCCAGGTGCCAGCAGGCAAGGGAACAATGTTCTGAGAGAAAGGCTATAAAAAGTAAAATCCACTTGCCATGGCATCCTATCTGTTCCACCGAGAGGCCAACTGCAGTGAGAAAAACCTGCTGCTATGTCCAGAGAGCTAGTTCCAATCTGGAACAAAAATCCCTCTGAAATCACTACAGACTCTGCCCAGGGTCCGGCCAGTATCTGGGAGACAGAACAAAGATCAGCCTGTTCCCTTGTGAGGTGAGGGTCTGCACGGCTGAAAGGGGCCGGAACGCTGCTCCCATTCAAATCCACAGACGGGGCCCTGCCAGCTGCGCCGGCTTTGGTGCCCAGATTCTTGATGTGGAGTCTGGGAGTCCAAGGAGGGGGAAGAGTCCAGAGCGGATGGAACAAGCTGGAGAGGAAGTGGGAAAGCAGCCAGGCTACAGCGGGGTGGAGAGGAAGTGGGGAGGAGGCCTGCCGGAAAAGAGGGGGCTCCAGCTGCAGAGGGGGCTGGAGTTCCAGGATTCTGGGAGTGGACAGACTTTCAACATTCTTGTGATACAGTTTCAGAAAGCGGGTCTGACTGAGGCTGCTTCGGGCAACTGCCGGAGCATCTGCGGTGGGGTGATTCCATCTGTGTCTCAAATCTGAGCCCTTAGCCAGAAGGAGGCAGCAGGGGAAGGATCTGGTACAAATACAACGGGTGGTACGTATCTGATTTACATTGCAAAGTCTGCAGCTAGCCATCGATTACTGGCCTGTGTTCATTACCCTGCTGGGTACCATGGCTCCATCTGTGGTGCAAACAGGGTCTGTTTCCCTGCAATGGGCTGGGGCTGAGTCATTCCTCCTGGTCTGATGCAACCCACAGTCATAGACAGTATGCATCTCTGACTGCATGGTGTAGTGTGGCAGTAGCTTCGTTGCTTGGCACCACCTTGTGGCCTGGTTGTTGCAGAGCTGCCTTACATCAGCTTGGCAAATCCTCCTATATAATTCACTTTGCGGCCCTTTGCATTTCAGGTCTGGAGGATGGACCAGTCTGTTGCTATACAGGAGACCCTGGCGGATGGAGAGACCTGCCTAATTATATCCTTTGCTCTAGCATTTCTTTGTAGATAAGTGAATGCGGAATTACCAGAGAAATCCTATCCCTTGGTACTCTGTTGCTGCGTCTCTGAGCAACTGACCATCAGTGGAGAGAGGGCCATTACCTGTAGGCCACCTGTTAATCCAAAACCTGTATGTCCCAGTCCTTTTCATGGCACACTGTGCTAATAATATTGGGCCAGTTCTAATGATCCCTAATTGAGAAAGAAGTTGTCACAGGAAAGAATTTTATCTGAAATGCCACTCATATATTACAACTCCCTGCCCAGCAGAGTG